GATATAATATTGACGAGAAAATAATAAAGCTTTATAATTTAAAATAAGGATATTGAAAACAATTCGTTGTTTAACGGGGAGCCAATGAAGGGCCAAGATTATTGGAGTAATATGATGACGGCGTGGTGTGAGAATTTTGTAATTTTTGAATCCGTCAAGGAGAAAAAGGCAGCCGGGAAAAAATTATTTCGAAGATAGTAATTAGCTGATTTGCAGGTGGAAATGATATGTTAGTAGAAAGTGAGGGATTTTCCAATATCACACAGAGATTACGGACTGAGATTGCAGAATTTTGTGTTTTATCGGACAATGTAGAGTTGTACCAAATTTGGTCACAAGAAAGCTGTATTTTTCATTAATTATATCTAAAATGCTATAATAGCATGGTTGTTAATTTACTTGGCTAACTTATGTATTTGAATTTTTGTAAAATTAAAGTTTAAATTCTGAATCACAAAAAAGGACCGTGTTTTAAAGGATAAGAAAACATACACATTTTGTTCGCAAGTAATGTATTTGGAAAAATACTGGGTATTCAGTACAATAATACGTCAGGTGGGGCTACATTACTCATATTATAAAAGCATAAATATGTAACCAAAAAGGATGTGTCAACTTACCCGATGCCGAAATAATGACGAAAAGAAGGCAAATTGTCATTGTCAGTTTCATCTTGAGTATTGGTAAACGCGTCTACACAGCAAACATTAACTTCAAAACCTGACTGTGTAATCAGTTGAGCGTCCCTTTACTTATACAGTGAAGCATAGGAACCTCCTCAATCAATGACAAGCATGGTTATGGTTTCACTTAATATGATAATTGATTATAGCATAGTGATGAATTATTAATGAACCAAGTTTAACTTATTCATCCACAATTCTTATAACATGTCAATCTGGGATGGCGCCAGAGTTGGGGGGGGGGGTGCTCTCCCGGAAGAGCCGGTCGGGGAGAAAAATCACAATTCGTCGAGGAGAAAAAATATATGTATTTTCTACATAATAGACTCTAAAATCGATTAAATAAGCTTTTGAAACACCTAAATTGTCAAACTTTTCTGGGGATTCGCCTCCTGCTCCACTTAGGCCTACTTTTAAAACCTTTTAATGGAAGCTCGACCACGCCCACTGCTTTCGTTGTGGAGAACTGACCCCTCGTCGGGGACCGCCCCCTCGTCGGGAGTATCCTGGCCACCCCTGATGCCAATCATTTAAGTATTTACTTTGTACGGTGTGGGATCAGATGAAATCCAAAATCCTGTACGAGATCATGGTGCATAGTGAGAATGGAAAATGAAGGTGAAAATTAGATCATCATCAAATGTAAACGCTAAATAATCTTCATAGGAACTTTTTTGGTTAAAACATTTCTATTAATTTCTGAGAAAAGATGCAAGATTAGAAACCAGTATTGGCAGCGTAAAGATGCGTAAACAGGTGCGGTTCTGAACAACGTGTTCGTATTGCATTGTTGCAATTATACCGTACTTAGTGCTCTCCCGCAACAATGTGACCGGATTTACTGGAATTTCCAGTCCCGGCACCCCTGCTTAACTGCTCGACCAAGGTTATTTAAAGGGTGATGAGGGATAAGTTAAATTTCCAAAGGCGCAATATCGACTAATGGGCTTTAATCAAGCTTTAATATTATGTTTTCTTAAAATGTTTAAACACAGACCCTTTAAATGTACAATTAAGAGTCTAATCTTTAAAGATAGAATTAGAGCAAAACTCGCCATAATATCCTAAATAAAATAAGTTAACAGAACAACGTTTCGATTTATGTATAAAAAGTTGGTTTTTTTTCGGGTCGAGAGCATTAGGTTTTATTCTATCCCCTGTACATGTTTACTTAGTTTGCAAATATATATGTTCAACATAATTTAGGGGTTTCAAAGCATATTTA